TACCGCTGCAGTGGCTGAAAAGTCTCAGAGTTTTATCAGCCGGGCGGCATTTGTCCGCGGACAATCGAGCATTCGAGCATCTCACTAACCTCAGGCACTTGGACTTGTCTAACGGAAAACTCAGGAAATTAGATCCCGGATGCTTTCGTCAGCTGCCTAGTCTTCGGACTCTCGACCTCGCTGACAACCACTTGACCCACTTGTCACCTGGCACTCTCCAGGGATTAGATCACCTTCAGTCTTTGAACTTAAAAAAAAACTTGCTCGAAGAAATTCCTGCTGACGTAGCTGCTCTTAACGACTTGAAGCACTTGGATATATCCCACAACAATCTCAACTGCGACTGTGAGTTTCTAAAACTACGGGACAGTATTATCAAGCGCGGGGTCGCTCTTTCCAAGAAAACGATCTGTAATGCCCCGGAAAGTTTGAAAGGACAACTATTAATCGAATTGAAAACCTATCAGGTCTGTATGGCCGATGAGCTCGACGACAGTCTCGATGGCATGCAAATGGATCAGCCACTGGCTGAAGAAGGCTCCGGTGAAGGCTCGGGGGACGCTTTCGATGAATTAGATCCCGAAGATATACCCGATGACGAGGAAAAAGTATCAGAAAGTGAAACTCACTCTAACACAACTTCGATACCCGTTCAAGTGTCGCTGACACCTGAGACTACAACTTCCAGTCAAGGAGATGGAGACGACGGAATTTTCTTCAACGAAGATACCGAAAAACATTCGACATCTTCCACTACCACAACTGTGTCCACATCTTTAGAAACAACGACGGAAATCCCCGTAGAAACTACCGTGGCTGTTGTTGAAGACAAGGAAGATAATAAAGACAAAGGAGAAGATAAAGACAATGAAGAAGATAAAGATAAAAACGATAAAAACAAAGAAGAAAATAAAGATAAAGTAGAAGATAAAGAGAAAGACGAGGAGCTATGGGAAAAAGAAGGCTCCGGAGATGACGATGCTGATGATCCTTGGATAACTGAAGGCTCTGGTGAAGGTTCTGGGGTCGCAATTCCTCACATAACTTGGGACGAAGACGAGTCACTGAAAAATATGAACAATAGTCAAGATAACACCAGTGAAATGGTGCCTACATCGACGACTGAGTCTACAGGAATAATTAGTTCCATTTGGGGTATACTCTGGGGCACGACTCCACCACCTCCCGCTTCGACTACTGAAGAATTAGATCTTGAGGAAGAGCAATTTATTAAAGCGACATCTGAAGCTACTGAGGAAGAAGAAAAGCCGAAAGAAAAAGTAGAAGAAGAGGTAATCACGCCAGTACAAGTGGTTCCAGTTGAGAGCGAAAGTATCAAACCGGGGGTTCTCGATGATCATAAGCTTGAACAGGTAAAGGTTGAATCACCGGTTGACGTTACTGGAACAGATGCTGCTGCCGATAAGCAGGAAACGCAGAAAGGAATGGGTTCTTATGTGGTTCTCGCAATTCTATTGGCTGTACTCGCGACTTTGATAGGTTTTGCGGCTTACAAGGGGAATTTCTGCAGAAAGGGGCGCAAACGTAATGATCACGACGACAATAATGACGTTGAAAATGGAACAGAGTTAAAGGACTTGAGAAAATCACTGCTAGACACTGCGAATTCGACACAACCGAAGATTTCTACTAATGGGAACAGTAGCAAGCCTGAAAGTATGCCGTTAGTGAGCTCCGGTAAAGGTGATAATGGTATGAAGATAAACGATGACGAGCCGACCGCCAAGTACATTGGCACAGTCAACGAATCCCTGGATCCTGTGAAACCTCCGAGAAAATCGTTCTCTCCGGGTGATTTTGATAGTAATGATAATCACAAAAAGGATGGGACTAATGGTAAAATAGTTACCACGCCTCAGTTGTCCTCAGATCCGTCAATAATGCGATATCCTAAAGTATCGAATAATAGAGAGGTTATGGCTAATGGTGGCGGCAACCGTGACTCCCTGTCCTCGTCTGGATCCCACTCACGGCTGTCAAATTTACGACTCAATCAGGATCTTCAGCCGCCTGGTAGCCCTGGTGCTCAACGCGTTAAAATAACTCTTCAAGATATTCCTGACAGCGTACCAAAAACGCCTCTACTTATTACGAGAACAAAAGCCGGCGAGAACCTAGTCAAGACCTCCTGAAGATTATTTTTGGCAACTCAAATTCTATTCCTCGATTACGTTATATTGTTTAAATTTATTTAATATATTAATGTGATGGTGAGGAGACTCTTTTTTTTTGTTTCTCTTCAGGGTCCAATACTTTGTTGACTTTAAATTTCTTGTTATTTTTTATTATTTAATTGATTAATTAAAGTTGATTAATTAGTTGAATAATTACGACGACCATGAAGACATATTTTTATATTGACTGCCGTGGCTTGTTGTTGGAAAGCCCTTTCGCGCAATCGATTTCATAAATTAAGTAGAAAATTAATTTTTAATTTATTATTGATTAATATTAATATTAATTAATTATTATTGATTTTAAGATTGTAAGTTAGCGTAAATGTCAATATTTTAAAAAGTTATTTTTTAAATGAATATATATGTATACATTTTTTTATATAGATTTTTTTGATGAATATTTATAGATGTAGGTGTAATGAATTTAAAGAAAGTCCAATTCTATAAATATGTAAATGTTAAAATATAATTAGTTATATTTAATTGAATTAATTTAAGTCAAAGTATAGTCTTATAACAAGGCATTATTTATACTGTTGTTAGTTTTAAATGAATATTAAAAACATTATTAATTCATTTTTAATCACAGAATTTTAGAAAAATATAAATACTCATTTATTACCTTTAATTATATCCTTTTATTCTACAAGATTATTGCGTGATAAAGAGAAATTGAAGAAGTATTTCACGTCGAGTAAATTATCTTTGTTAATTTTTTTTTTTATAAACATAAATAAATAGACAAATAGGACTTTTTGTTTTAGAAGAAATTAAGAATTTGTTTTGTTCCAAGTAGTTGAATTTTTAATTCTGGTACTTGATATATCGTGTTAATATAAGTGTATTCATAATATTGATGAGGTAAGGTACAGAGCATGAGATACGATTCAAAACAGAATAAGTGAGAAAAGAGATAATATAAAAACCGGGACTTTTCCGGCAGATGGTAGCAAGTGTTTTTCCTCTATAGACATATTAGGAAAGGTTTCAAGTTTGAATAAATATGCAAATGAATTCCTTTTTCTTTTATTCTCACCGATTAAGTTTGAGAATTTAAAAAAATTATTTGTGACGAGTGATACTTTTTTAAGAAGGTTCATTCACACATGTTAATTGAAGTGTCAATCAAATATTTAACAAATGAAGAAAGTTACATTACTGTATAATTTAATGATAACATTTACAACTGAATATATTATAAAACATTTGTCATGATAATATTTTAATGATAGAACCTTCTCACAAGTACAACTGATGATGAGAGATAAATTTTTTTTTCATGACCTTCGTAACTTTTATCTGTTATTGAAAGTTCATATCCGAAAAATTTCGAAATTTTTTCTTACATCACTTATCATACAAAAATTAAATTAAATTTCATGAGTTGATTTTACAAAGTCTCACACAGCAATGATTTAATTTGTATTGATTGCATCAATACCTAAGAAATTATTCTTTGGTATAATTGTTTAAAGAATTTCATTAAGCTACATAAATATTTTTTAATTACTATAAAAAAAAATTTATTTAATCCGTTAGACTCTTATTAAATTAATAATTAATATTATTATTTATTTATTTCAGCCTTGAGGGCCTAGAAATAGGACTGAGTACATATAACTTTACATAATCTTATTTCTATTAAATTACATTTACTTATTTTACTTATTTCGATTATTTTAACTTAATACAATGTGCAGAATTCTTTTATTACTTCTCTATATACGTATATATTTTCATGATATATTTTTCATTTCACGGCTCTGTCTATTTTATTTTATATTTAATATTTAATGATTTTATATCTGTTTGGTATTTACACTGCCTATCTTTATTATATCACACATAATTGAAACAATGCAAAGTTGCTTCTATTCTTTGTTATCCTTCCTCTTTCTCCTTCGCTTCCTTGGGTTTCTTCCGTATGTCGCGTTTTTTCTTCTCTATTTCTTTCAACCAGGTAGCTGCTTCTTTTTCTCCTTCACTACTTAATATTTCTTCAATTGAAAGCGCTGTTCTCTTTACCTCCTCGCATCCCTCCCACCAGTGTACTATTAAGTCTTGTCCCTTGCCACAAAGCCAGCATTTCTTCTCTTTATCACTTTTCCAAGTTTTGTTGGCTTCCTCTAAAGTTCCACATCTTGCTTTTGCTATTATAGCATAATTTTCTTCATATCCTCTTTCTAAGTATGACGGCAATTCACCTGTATATATTTCCTTGTATCTTTGATTGTACTTTAGTTTTTCTATTTTATTCCATTGCAGCTGCCTTTGTACATCCATTCCTCGTGTTTTTATCTCGATACCAATAGATCCTCTTGCATTCCTAATTCTTTCCACTTCTTCTTGACTGGGTCCGCACTCGTTTAGGAGTTTCGTCCTACATTTTAAACTCTTTTTACAGCCTTTTCCTTTGATTCTTTCCATTAGACATTCTTTCACAATTCCTCCTTTCTTCATGACCTTGCTCTCATAGTCCGCTACTAGCTTTGCAAATCTCAACCTGAGTTTTTCACGTTTAGTCTCTTCAAATAGTACACAATCTGGTGTGCATCTTTCTAACCCCAGTATCCATTTTAGATATTTCTTCTGTACCCTTTCCATTTCTTCTACTTCTTCCCACCCCCACAATTCTGCCCCGTACGCCATTACACTCACCACTAGGCTAAGACTCTTATTAAATAAAAAATTTTATTTAAAAAATTCAATGTACATAAATACAAAATTAATAACATACTTTATCCCTATTTAAATAATTATAAGATAAAAAATAAAATAATATTAATAATTACAATTTTTAATTTAAACAAATCTACTCCTAGAAATTTGTTCGCTATTGTCACACGGTTCAGGCGAGGAAATGAGTGAAGGCGAGGAGGGAGTGTAGAGTGGCGGTGATACCGGCGGTATGTAAGTTCCACTTCGAGGTTCTCGTGGTAATTCGATCACCTGTATGTTATCAAGATTCACTTCACGCCTGGCACTGACCATACGATTTTTCAGAACATCTGAATCTTCGTCGTCGCTCGAATGTCCGTTTTGCTTGAACAGCCGCTTCTTTTTCCTCGCATTCGAGGGTCTAGCTCTCAAAGTCCGTTCCCAATTGTTATCAACACTAGAAGCTTCAGATTGGTTTGCGTGACGGTTCTCCGAATTTCTTTCCGGTCGTTTGGGATCAATTTGTCCCGATCCGGAAGAAGTCGGGAGAGCGTTTCGTCTCTGGGAGACATTTCTTGTCCTCCGACTGCCACTTTGAATTTTTCTGGTCCTAGAATCAAGAGTGTCTTCACTTTTTGTTCTCTTGACCACTCGTTTGCGTTGTCGCCTTCGTTTTCGATTAAGTGTCTCGCGATCGAGGGATTGCGCGGATTGACCGATTCCCTCTATCGAGATAGTGTCCAAGGTTTCCAAAGATCGCGCCAATCTCGGCATCTGAACAGCTTCTTCATAAGTAGGTGGGCCTATCAGTTCTTCCGGTTGAACACGTGGGACGTTTTCTTGACGTCTCGTTTCCTCCAAATGACTTCTTGTAGAAATAATTTATTTTATTTAAATTGAATATATAGCACAATAAAATAAAAAATTAAATTAAATTAATTACCGTCTGTGGAGTATCAGTCGTTCTCTGGCTTCGGCTCGTTCAGCTTCGCGTAATCTCAGCAATGCCTGTCGTCTTTTTTCCTTAAACGTGTGAGCAACGGAGGCGATACTGCCGAAAATTAGGACAGATATCAAAAATCCCATGACTACTAATCCGTAAGTCCTGTCGGAGCGTTTAATTTCAGATCGATCTTCGTTCCAAAAAGACCGACATGCAGTCGACCACGAGTATCCTGATACATTTGCCGGGCTTTCACATATAAGACTCGATGAAGCTGTCTTTGATGACTGAGTAAGATAGCGATATGATGGATACAATTGTATACAGTCACAACGCCACGGATTGTCGTCTAGGACTATTGTGTTCAGATTGTCATTCAAACTGAATATCTCGTAGCCGATACCTTCTGTTAATCGATTACCTATTTTAAATTTTAATTTATTATTTCATGATTAAAATAATAATGGGTACTTGTAAAATATTGCGTTGAGTCTAAACTTACCGGACAAATTGATATTATCCAGAGCGAGCAAATAAGCAAAACTCTCGTTGGTTAATCTCGTCAATCGGTTGCCTTCCAGGTAAAGACTCTGCAGAGTTTGCGACTGCAACCCTGAAGAAAACGACTCGAGTCTGTTTTCACTCAAATCCAAAATTTTCAAGGCCGGCATTTGTCGCAAACTTTCTCCGGGTACAAACTCGATTAAATTGTAAGACAAATCGAGAATAAGAGCTGTTGTGGTCAAGTTCACGGGCATTAATTTTATATCGTTGTAAGACAAGTTTACTGATCTTAGATTTACATTGTCTCGCAGGAGAGCCCATGGTAGGGATTCTAAATTATTGTGCGACAAATTCAGGACATCTAACTCTGGTAGTCCAGCAAAAGAACTTTGGTTCAGTTGCGACAGGCCATTGTTGTTTAAATACAGACGCTCGAGTTTTTTATTCTTAGAGAATATTCGGTCCGGTAGAAGTCGGATTGTGTTGTAAGAAAGTATTGCGTGGGTGAGTGATGGCAAACCATGTAATCCTGGACGGTCCAAGTTGCATTTTGATACGTCGAGGCGCTTTAATTTATCATGCCTCAATGTTTCTTTTCTGATGAATAATAATTTATAGTTCATTAAATTTTTATAAATTTTTTATGTTTAAAGAAATTATTTATTAATAATTTGTGTGCAAAATTTTTTTTTGTCTTGAATATTTTATTTTCTATCATGATTGTATAATTTATTAAAATACCTGGTACTAAAAGCCAAACTTGGATTATTTGACATCCGTAATTGCTCAAGCTCCGGCGTATTTACAAAAGTATTTGGTTGTAAATAATTGAGTAAACAATTCGACAGATCAAGCCACTTAAGATTTTGGTGACTTAGATTATCAATTGATTTCAGTGGGTTTTTATCTAGTTTCAGCGACTTCAAGTTAGGAAGTCCGATCAGTGATTTATTGTTTAGATATGTGATAGCTGTAATATCATAAATTTCATTAAAAAAAACATCAATAGTTGATTAGTATTAAATTTAAATAATAACTTACAACATTCACTGACGTCCAAATATTGAGCATTTATATTTTCTAAATTCTCTAAATTACTGACCGGATTTTTCCTCAAGGTTAAATGCTTTAGATTAGGCAACCTTGAAATCACTTCAATACTTACAAAAAAATTCTCGCTCAAATCCAGATGTTCAAGTTTCCATAAATTTTCAAACTCGTCTGGCAATTTATCCAATTTATTCCTCGAAAAATTAATAGTACTCAGTTCTTTCAGACGTCCAATGTCTGCTGGAATACTTTTTAAGTTGTTTTTTGACAAATCCAACGCTTCCGTCTAAAATGAAAAATATTTTAATTTAATTTCTTTCAAATAAAAAAATAAAGTAATAAATTACCAAGCCGCTAATTTTTTTCGGAAATTCCTCGAGATTTTGGTTCGAGCAAACGACACTCCAGGGCGCTCGTTCCAGTCGGCATTCACATTTTTCCGGGCAATAAGACCGGGAAGTCGAAAAAAAATTAATTGCTAAAATTACCAATATTTCACAATTCTTCATTATTTACAAAAATTAAAATATATTTTTAGTCAGGAAATTCCACAGATTATTCACATTGATAAGTCTTAATAAATATTTTTTTAAACTCGACAAGTACACTTATCGCTGGACACAGCAACATACTATTTATTTATTTATTCAATACTACCATAAAATTGAACAATACTATCCAAATATTCATTTCTAATGAACATTTTTTAGTTAGATTTTTAACAAAAATTTCAACAGGGCGTGTCGTTATGCTCACCTGCTATTGAAACTACCAACTGACTTATCTTCGACGTACATCTCTCGGCTCAGCTTATCTAAGCGTGAGATAACTTGTCGTTGACTTGTTAAAAAATTTTTAACCTAGGTTTAAATTTTCATTTACTTTTGTAAACAAATTCTAAAAATAAGTATTTTTTATTCTTTTATCATCCATCAATTATTTTATTTATAATTCTCAATACTTAATAAACAATTTTTCTTAACAATAAATTTGACTAAAAAAAATATACTAAAGAGTTGATTGTAAATCGGATATTGAATACATCGGTGGTCAGTCGCCAAAGTAAAGTACTTAAAGCCTCTCTCGGCTGACCCATCCGGATATTTTCCCTTTACTTTCGTCGTTTCAGTAGCGTAAGCTCAAGTAGAGTCTTTCTCTCCTGTCTTTTGCTTTTAAATCCCGTCTGTACTGTATGTACAGGTTTGAGTAAAGTTTATACTCTTTTCCGACATAACAGATACATGCTACCCATAAATACAAATAATAAATATATAAAATAAATATGAGCATGAAATATATATCGTCCATCTAGTTCATAATAAATCCTGATTCTACTTCATCTTCGGTGTATTTTAACTCGCAAAGCCGCTCTCAGACAAAAAAAAATTAAATGAAATGGGTAGTAGAAAATCCCTGTGTTGGTCAGCCAAATGTGGTAAGCTAAAGACCGCGCAGAAGCATTTGAATTGCGAAAAAGTATTTTTCACACATCGGACGTGAGCCAATGGGATTTGGTCACACCCTCAGGAGGGTGTAAAAGGTTTAGCTTAGCGCCGGCGCTTAGTCCTAGGGCTTATCCTCCTGTTCAGCGGAAATACCCCTCGAGAGTGCGCCGACGTTATACCTGTTGCTAAAGCCAACCCCTTTACGCGATTTCACAAATCCGCGGGTTTTAGTCTGATCCGCGTGGTCACGCCTCAGGCAGGAGAGTTTAATATTTGTGTATTTTTTATTCAATCTTTCTCCGCGAAGGGTGTTTCTTGTGCCAGAAAAGTTCAAGACAAAATTTTAACCTTAAACTTTTACAGGATAAATATTTTTATGGATTATAATGCAGGATTAATAATTATATTTATAAAAAAATTAGATATGAATCAAATAAAATCCTTAAATAGTTAGTAAAAAAATAAAAATATTTTTAAAGGGTTGATTTAATTGAATTTACTACTGACAATTGACGATCAGTGATTGACCTTCGTGAACTCGGTATAATTAAAATTCAATCAGAGCCGTTGCAAATGCAGATAAAAGTTGGCCGCGAGAGTAGTCAGTAGAAGCGCAGGAGCAATGAATAAGGGAGTAGAGTTATAATACAAAACCGTAAGTTGGAAATAAAATAAAAATAATAAAAGCAAGTAGAGTGTTAAGAGAGAAAGGCACGAATAAAGTATATATAAAGTATTACAGAAGTGAAGTGCCGAGTGTATAAAAAGCGACAATAAGGGACCAGGACTTGGGGACACTGGATATAATATCATTTAGTTGGTATCTCTGTCGATAGTAGGCTGTAGGGTGCAGGGTGTTGGTTCTTCACTAGAAACCGGTTATATATTTTTAACGCTTTCATTTCCGTCAGAGTCGTACCGGAAATAGCGCCGCGATACTTGGCGGTGTTTCAAGTATTGATCAGTTTATTCCGGGTACCACCCACCGGACGACGGGTGGAAACTCAGTCGGCTCCTACCCCACACGACAGACCCGGAGAGCTCTACTCCTACTCTTTGCACTCGCGCTACGCTGCGATGAGTCGCTGAGAAATACGTACACTCCTACCCTCACCCTCACCCTCACCCTCAACCCCGCCGAGGTGCTTTTACTCCTCCCTCTCCTTCTCCTCGATCTCCAACTCATTTTCTTACTCTTACTCTCACCCTTATACCTTATACTTATACTTATATAAACCCGTACTCTCGTTCCTCTTTTACCTTCTGCCTGAACTCATCCACCTCTTCGCTTCTTCGACAAGTATCCCTCTGGAACATCTTCAACTATCCTCTGTTCTCGTCTCGTTTATATACACCAGACGTTATTTTCTATTGAAAATCATCTTGACTTTTATGTTTAACTCTTATCTATCTATAAAAAATTACTATTTAATATTGGGTATAGATTTTAATGAAAAAAAAATTTCCGTGTGTATCATGTTTTTAATTTTTTTTTTTCACTTTTTTCAATAATATCCAATAATTTGATCAATTATTTTTGAAAATATATATTTTATAAATCATTTAAATAAAAAAATATATTTGACTGAAATTTTATCTAAAAAAATCATCACTATGATGTATGAAAACACTTATCAATTTTTTAATTAAAATTTTCATCATACCACTATTTTCATAAAGAGTTCGTCTGTTAGAATTAATCTTTTGAATATCAACAAATCTTATAAAATCTAAATAAATTTTTCGGCCTGTATTAGCACACATGATTCATTTACAATAAATAAATAAGTACATAAATAGAATTGAAGACATAAGAATGAAGAAAAAATAGCCACTTACCCTCGAACTCTGGAATAATTTCATATTTTTCTCGACGATTCCGTTCCCCTTTGGTCTTTAAGCTTGTCGGGTATAAATAGCAGCTTATCTTTTGTCAGTTTCGACATCGGGTGCCCTCACTGTGCACAAAGCCAAGTCCTACCGTACATACACATTTTAAGTACTTACACATCCATACAAGTGATTATATGTGTACACGAAAACATATATAGTACATACTTCAATAACTCAACTTTCCTTTCACTTGGTCTTCTCGTTCGCTTTCACCCCTTCGCATCGACATAACACACATCACGGTTCTAAGGGGGCGCGACGTCTTTTCAAATGTGCACTCGTAATTGCTCTGGCATGTCCCTATAAATCAAATCCGCCGACGACAGTATTTCTTCTTTTTACACTCTATATAACGCTGGGTAAAGGAAGGGGTAACAGCGCATCTACATGTATAGACGTATCAAATACACATACATATATGTTACCTTCTCTTCTCACACTACTTTATACTTAATAAAGGTATTTACATACTTAAGAAAAATATTTTTTCGATCTACTATAGTAACTTTTTTTTCACATTTATTAATTTTTAATGTATTAATTCTTTGAGATTTCTTATTGATTTTTCAATGTCTGACTTTTTTTTTATTGTAGTATAAGGCAAAAAGTCAATCATGTACAAAAATAACTAACGAATAACCTGCGAATAAATCTTGAACTAAAAATTCACTCGAAGAGCTCAACGATGTAAATGTGAGCTCAAAAAGCTCAAAACTTCATAATAGATCGATTTTTGTGCGTTTTGAACTTAAACATAGAGGAAAACTTAAGGTATGACCTGCAGGGATAAAATATTAATATTTAAAAAAAATTATTGAACTGAATTATTTCAATTAAAACTAGTTTTTGTTAAAATATTATTTCAAACCAATAGTTTTTTAGCTTAAAAACCTCGTGTGAAAATAGTCTAAATTCGGTTGGGTTTATCGTGTTGAAATTTGAAAGGATGCCGGGTGTTTGTGGTTCAGTGCGTCCTTAACGAGATCAGACTGTAGACAGCATCAGCGTCACCGCTGCCGGGTCAGAGAGGCAGGGGAGAAGAAGGATAAGGCGTGGGTGGTGTGGGAAAAGGTCTCAGTGAATAGTAGGCAAAGTAGGTAGCGCCGTATTCCGGAAGATGAGGAGGAGAATCGAATAGAAGGAGGAGACAGAGTTGAGGTGTGGATCCGCGCAGCACTCATCGAAGGTGTGTGAGGAGCGCGCAAGGTGCACATCTGTCGAGTTCCATCCTCTATACTACTCGCGGCACACATCATCCGGCATAAAGCTTTCGTCGATCGTCCTGCTTATGTAACACACCCTATATATCCGTCGCAACTTTCCGCCCTCTTGGTTTACTTGAGCCAGAGCGAGACCGAACTTGCTATCGCGAGGCTGTCTATCTGTCGTTTCCGTCACATTGTCTAATCACCACGTCACCACAACAACCCTCGCTGCTGTAGTAATACACTCTCTACTCTACATCTCGCCTCTACGCCGACAAATCCGCGGTTCTTACCCCTCCTCTCTTTTCTCTTTCCACTCTCCACCCTCGTGTTTTTTGTCAAACAAAAATATCCTTAAAGGTAAGGGTTTAAATATTTTTTCTCTCTCTATTTATCAGGAGCTTCTTCATTCTTATTTCTTTTAGTCTCGGTCTCTTACTTAGCCGACACCCTAACACCTTAAATCACGGAAATTGAATCTGACGTGGCATGCGGGATGAGCCCTATATTTTTGCTAGATTATAAACTCTAAGGGATTGCTTTCATGCGTTATCTTATGTATTATAAGCTGGGGGAGAAAATTTTACTCATTTATTTTATGTAACATTACTCACACATAAATACACTCTTTTATATTCTCTTGTTATTACATTTATATTTCATTTAAATTAAAATAGGTATTTACATTTATCTACTCATACGAAGAAAAAAATTAATTCTATTTAAACAAAAAAAATTTGAAGCTAAGCTAATCCCATCTCATCCCAGTCCGAGCTATCTAATAATTTTTCTCGCATATTCTATACACTCACATTAAGATGATCCTCTCCACAATCCTTTCTCAATCCTTTCCTACCTACGTGAATGTTGGAACGCTTAACGTAATAATTATCCGTAACTCCTATTCTTTCCCGCTTCACCGCATTATTTATATTTGTTACAAATGCTACATATTTTGCTAAAAAT